AATTTTTATTTATTGTTAATTTTGTCAATTTCAATTTATATGACTGGCAGCTTTTTTTCTTTTTAATTTTTAATGTAAATGTATGCATACTACCAACTACAACTGCGCCTGTAAGATTGTCCTAGTAAAAGTACAGATCAAAATCCATTTGTGGATTTGTATCTGAAACACACAGCCCCAAAATTGTAACTATAGCTGCATTTTCTTATAAATTATTAACACTTTCCAGTACTTTAACCTTTTTGTATACCAGGCATCATTTTAATTCAATCTAAGGGCTATTTTGTGTGGGTAGATTCAATAAAATCCCTTTAAAACACACTGAGGTTTGTCAATACTTGTTATAAACACTTTCGAAAACATTCTGGCTGTCAGAGCTGTTGCTCAGGGATGATATGTTCAAGTTTAAAAACCCAAGAGATGGTGCTTGTGTAAAACTGCTGTTAAAGCTGCAGCACAATGGATACAGCAGCTACATCAGCAAAGCAGTCTTCATGGAAATCAATCATGAGTCACACATGCATACAATTCTTTGTTAGAAGGGCAGCTCACAGTTAACTACAAATAGCCTCAAGCATGACACAGATATAAATCTTAGCACATAAATGTGGTCAGAACGGAGAAAAAACTGAGAGTTTAGGTAAATATCTGAAAAACAAAAAACAAAACAAAAAACAATAAATATAATTGATGCTTTGAATCTGTTGTTAAAATACAACTCTGTTTTTTTATGAATGAGTATAGTTCAACCAAATTTGAACCTAATTTAAAAGTAGGCCAAATTGCAATTCAATTTAACATTTATATGATTTGTAATTCCTGTACTCATCTTCTTATCCATATTATCTTTCTAAGGATTGTTTTATGCTATTCTATAAAAAAAAACAACCACACACAAACAGCATTTAACATTCGAGCTTCCTATAGAAAATTATCTTGTTTTTAAAAATTATGAAGTCTATTTGAAAATGTAAAAGGAAGGCAAGGTTTAGCCTTAAAAATTTTCCATATAAATCCAACGTATATGTTTTTTTTAAATCAATGTACAAATTCTTGTGTTGGTTGGTTTTTGCTGCTAAAGAAAAAAAAAAAAGGGAAGAAAAAAAAAAGAGAAAATCTATCTGCTTGATTTTCCTCCAGTACTCCCAGAGGTCTCTCACCGGAGGAAAAACAACACATGCAGGAAGTGAGGCGGCATATTCGGAAAGCATTTAGCGGATCAATATGGCAGAAGCAGGAGAGGGGAAGCGAGGCAGACTCAGACGGAGCAGGAGAGGGAGAGACACCCAGAGCCCAGGGGAGAGGAGATCTCCCCTGGGGAACGCTCTGTGCGCTTTTCAAGAGTACTGTTACACATTTCACTCAGGCTCTGTAAGAACATCCAACTCAGCAGCTTTTCCTAACTGTCTGAGTTAAGCACACTTAAGGCTCCCCGGTGTGGGGAGAGGGAAGTAAATAAGTGCAGGATCTCCAAACTGCCTTATAAAGGAGGAGGCTCACTTTAAAATCTGATCACACCAAAAATGAAAGTGTTTAAGTAAATTAAACAAATTAAAAAAATATTTGTTGAGTTCCTCTGATTAAAAACCTTAATTGGCAAAATAAATAGTTTAATTATCACAGTATTTCAGAAAGTATTCAGAACTGTTTTACAATTTATCAATAACAACCAAATTCTTGTTTAATATGAATATGCAGTTTTCACATTAAAGAAATACAGTATATGCTTCTAAGTGAAGACTTTGTAAAAACACCTCTTGCTGCAATTACAGCTGAAAATGTTTGTCTTGCCAGGATTACAGCTTAGGAGATCAGAGCCGTTTTGCTGTAATGTTCAAAATAGCATATCACAACCAAATTTATTGTAAAGTTGTTTTTTTCACCTCATATTTTTGGCTAAATATATGTTTTACTCTTACTTATTGCTGTGCTTTGATCCCCTGGCTATCCCCTAGTAGCCCTGCCTCTATTGTCATTATCCTGCTGGAGGCCAAAGATCTCAATTTCTCATATTTAAGTCCATTTACAGTCATATCAGCTGTGGCCAACTGTCCCTGTGTCTGCTCAGGAAAAGCACCCCTGCAGCATGCTACTACTCCCTCTATGGAGGTGCTGTGTTTAGGATGATGTCTAATGTAACCCGAAGTTTACTCCGACTACTTATCGTTTCTGCTTCATCAAAGTGGGCCGTTTGGTAGTCCGCTCTGGTCGCATTCAAGATCCCTTTATGCATTCAGACAGCCATACACCTATTTTTTTTTTTTTATTTGTTGTGTCCTGTTTTGCCAATATAGCTCTGGTAATAGACCGGTAATAGTCTGGTAATAGGTCCCAGAGCTAGCTGATAGCCCAATAGATTTGCTTTCACAAGCAGACCCTTATGACTATTGCCATAAGGGTCTGCTTAATACTTGTATATTAAACTTTGTTGAAAGTTATTCACGGAGTAAAATCGAGTACAACGGACATGTAGACGGAAATGGAGGTGAGACAGAAAGAGGGGATAAGATCTAAGGGGAGAGAGAAAGAGACAGAGAAAGACAGGAAAGAGTGCACGAAAAGAGAGAAAATAAAACAAAACAGCAGAAATAGAATCACAGAAGATATACAGTAACTCCTAAACGTCTGCTTCCACACTATGAGATGTGAGGGACCGAAAACGGAGACATAACAGCAGAAAAAAAAAAGACAACAGACAACTAAAGCAAAAAAAGCTTCAACAGCAGCAGGTATCCTTAGATATTCATTTGTGTTAAAGTCAATACCTATGGTCATTACACAATATTATTCAAGGTGGAATATACCTATAGCTGCAGCTTAGTATTAAATATAAGTGTATACCCGTAAACATCTGAAACCAAACTCCCCTGGTATGTATACAAGGGCAGGCTCATGTATAAAGGGTTTACAAAGCTTCTTCAGAAGGATATTATGCTTAATAGCAGGTGTGAGTGGCCCCAGACTCATAGATTACGGTAATAAAGAGGAAATCCTGGCCCCAGATTCCCAAAGGAACCCCAGATCACTGGGACACAAGGAGGAAAGACAAAGGGATGGCTGCACTCACCAGAGAAGGGAAGATAGAACCCTACCCCTATTCCAAAATATACTGGATCTGTTGTACTGTGTCTGAATCATGTTTGGCTCATGTGGTCTTTTAAAGTTAACTATTTTAATCTAAACTATAAATTACTTTCTTCTGCATTCTTGAGTTGTAAACAGTAACTGCTTATAAGGTATTGTTTTTTTTTTCTTGCAAACAGTTATTCCAGTTATTCCACTTCTTTAGTCAAGACTTGCGGTGTTGACTTTTATCAAACCTGAGCAGTGGATCTCTACAGCTGCTCCTAGGAGCACCCTTAAGGCTTCTATAATAAATAATTTATACTTATGTCATGTTGTTTTCATTTTGTTGGCATGGATTAAACTAAGATATAATAAAGCACATCTGCCTGCAGCGTTCCATGGTTTTTATCATGCTTTTTTTCACAGATATTTTCTTGCCTACCCTCTGATGCCTTCATACTACAGCTGGATTTAAACTAGAATTAGATTATATTCAACTGGAATTAAAAATTCAGTTACTTTGAAGACAATATTTGAAATAAAATTTATTTAGGAAGATTTATGTAAAAGGGTCTGAATACAGCTACACACAATACTTTTCATGTTTTTATTTTTCTAAATATGACATTTTCCTTTTATTTTGCAACTAGGCACTATTTTGTGTTGATCTTCCTTTTAAAATTGTAGTTCTATGTATTAAAGTTAGTATTTATAATAGTATAATCACTATTGCAAAGCAGAAAATCTATACAGCTAGAACTACAACCACTTTTGTAAATAAAATTAGGCATTTTTGCACTACCAAAAAGCTGGTGTTTTAGAAGTTTCACTTAAATCAGATTAAATCGACTCACCTTCCTTCAGCATGCCAACTTTAAGACATTTCATGAAACGGCAAGCCTGGCAGGACTTCCGTCTCCTCTTGGTGATTTCACACTCATTGGTAGCTGGACAGCTGTATTCAATGTTTCCTATCAGAGAAAAGGAAAATGGTGCCTCAGAAACTTATGATTGAATTACATTGAATGTTATTTTCACATATTTATTTCCCTGAACAAAACAAGGAATCACTGGATGATTAAGGCTCTTGTATGGCGTAGCAAAGCTATATCTACTATGCAAGTTTGTCTTGATGGGTCTAGGCTAACTATAAATGTATTTCTGATGCAATGTTATATATCTGAGCCATAAACGGCGATAAATTAAGCTTTGCTTAACTCCTCTTTTTGCTCCCTATAATCCCAACAGATCCTCTCTTCAGATTATATTTATCCCATGATTGGATGTATTAACACAACCCCATAAGACCAGGGATGTCTTTATGCTACCTAAAAAAAGGAAACCAGGTGTCGACCTGCCTCCTCCCTCCTTGGCTGTAAAACTCACATTGCCCCCCCATCACTCAAGGAGAGGGTGCCAACATTTGTCAGGATCCTTGGCATGAATAGTGCTGCTGGGGTCACAGGCACGGTTAGGGGTCCAGGGAACCATGCCAGGTTGTTGGCATAGATTGCTGCTGGATTTGGATTTGGAGCTAGGTGAAGTCTGTTAAACCAAGAGGCTTTAGTGAGTAAGGAGAATCCTGTTCACTCCAGCACTTATGCAAAACCTTATATTCGGTAGCACCTCTACTGTATACTGTCACCTATTCAACAGATGTTTATTTTCTAAATGACGTTTATACTAATATGATGGAAAGTGTCCATGAAATAGAGGTGATTAAAATCAGATGATGCATTTATGTTTATTAGGTGTTAATTTCCACCTAATATGTTAGGGATAAGTCACGTTTACCACTTTACAAGCCTCAAAGCAGCAGGATTCATATCAGTCTAACACTAAAATGAGCTGCCTGTGACTAATGTTATTTATCATGCTAACACAGAACATTATTAAAACAACTCTAACGTGACACCTCAGACACGGATTATCTGGTTTAATGTATAAAGATGCATGGAACGACACACTTCACTGAACCCACAGACGTAAGTTTGGTTGTAGTTTTGACGCTCTGAGAGCAGAGCTGTCGCCTCTGTCATTAGATAACAGCAGAGCTACAAGCTATTTCGGCAGATCCTGCTTAGTTTCTGTTAGAACAAGTTCATAGGGCTGAGTGTGTGTTACTTGATGTCTAAACTGTTTTATTTACTCTTTTCGAGTACATCCATCAACATACTCAATAGTATTTTATAGGAAAAACATATTTAAACAGAGCTGCGAATAAGAGAGTTTAATAAGTAACAACGATTCAGGTGAAAAACATATTGGAATATTGAGATTAAATTTTTGATGTGGTATGCCAAACAAAGAGAGAGAAGATCTGAAAAATATGAGAATTCAGGTATAAAAACATAAAATAAAAATTTGAATTATGTGTGAAAAAATACTTATTTGTATTCATACTAAATATTTGTACAGAAGAATAGGAAAAGAAAATCCTGTTTATGTAAAAAATGTTTTCGCCCACACATTTCGTGTAGTTTTGAAATATTCATTTAAATTTTTGTCGTGTATATTCATTTTAAAAAGGTTACCATGAAAAACGAGAACCTGGAATGAGATCTACTGGTATAAAAAAGGTTTAAATTATTAATTGAAAATAAAGATCAATTCTCTATCTATATATTCTTGTTCAGTTGGATTAAGTTGTTTTTGGGTAGTGAAAGTGGGTTGTTGCACCGTAGGTTCTGTATAGAGTTAAATGACCTCTGTCTAAAAGCAGAGGCATACCCTCTTAGTTAATAAGGTCTTGCATCTACCTTTACTTTTCAAAGGACATTTCAACCACTCTAACATCCTTCCTTAACCTCTTTTATTTTGCCCCTAAATGCTGATATATTATTATGCCATGCTATTATCTACGCGCCCATCTCCACTCAAGCTGGACCTCTCCTTGTTCGCCTCCTTTACTGGGGCCGGGACCCCCGTCTCTGATTACCATTCCATTAAAGTGGCTTCTCCTTTCTGTGAATGACCATGTCCCCACCGTCCCATGCCCCTCTGCGTTTATTTAGAGGACTCCTCCAAACGCATCCTATTTTTTTCCACTGTCTCCCATCTCTGTTATTGCCACTGAAACACGTGCTTGAGCTTCTAATTGACCTCCGTCTCCTCTCACCCTTTGCTCATGGGCTTTGATGGGAGGTCCGAGGACAATATAGAGACAGCAGCCCTGTTCTGCTTTTTTGACTTTTCATCCAATGAAATTCCTTGCTCTTAATTACAGTTCCCCAACACTGATTGTTATTGACTGAAACTCCCGTGGCTCAGGACAAATGACGGATAGATTAAGCTCAGTACAAGCCTGTCCTCCACAAAGGAGAGCGGGAGGAAGAAACAGAAGAGGGGAAAACTTGGTCTAACTTTTTATTGTAAGTCTGTTAATAATGTTTTTATTTTTTAACTTGAAACAGCTGGAATTTGATTTAAATACAACAAAGTTGAAAACTTTCTGGAACTAAAACTTCTCAAGTTTACCCTTATACAACCACTAATTAATTGCCAAATAACCAAAATTACGATTTAAGCAGCTACAGATATAAACGGTTATAAATGCATTGTTTTTGGCCAGAATGATAATTTTCTAAAAATGTTCTCCTTAAAGAATAGGGCCATTTAATTTTGTAGAAGGTTTAAAGGTTTTTTCTTATTCTGTCCAACTGTCTTTATTCTTTTATGAGGGCCCCATACACCGATTCTTAGCAAAGACTGTCTGCTCACTTGATCTATCCCATTTTAATTCCAGTAGTCGTCTTCTTGATGGATTTAATTTATTATTTCAATATCTGAAAGGCACATCTCCAAACAATATAAAAAGATTTGCATTTGCAAAACAATTGCATTTAGAAACCTAAAAACAACACAATTGAAAGAGTTCTAGTCTGTTTATACTGCCTGCTAATCCCTACTTTAGTCCCTTAAGCGTAGAACGGGGTTTGATAGCTTAATAGAGGAAGTGGTTAAAATTAAAGCGTACTTTTCCTCCGACTAGTGTTTCCCTCAATCAGAGCTGCCATGTTAAATTAAGGAAAATATGCAGCTAAACTAGGTAAGCTACAACCTTTGCTTGCAAGAAGTACAAAAGCAACAGTAAGTATCTGGTGGCTTTTTTCTGAACACAAAAAAGTAATTTGTCAGAATTTTCTTTATTGCTTATTTGCAAGTCTGGTGTCCAGCAACGTGAGTAACCCGTCCTTGTTATCCACAATGCAAACACTACAACTAAACGACCCCCTGAGGGAGGCTAATGACGGCTAAATTTGGAAACTGAATCACAGATTCCAATGTGGGCTTTAAGTATATAAAACAGAATTTGAGTTTAATTCAGTTTATGAGTCTGTGTTTAACCATCTGTAGCTTTTAAATCTTTACCCTTTAGGTCAGACTTTAACTGGATTGTTCGCACTCAACAGGAAGTCTTTAATTCACAACCTGAGATTTACGAAACCTCAACTCTGTTTGTAAGAAACACAATAAGAGCTTTAGTTGTAAAATGATACCTGGCACTTAGAAAAGCATGAAAAAAATTGACAATCCAAACATTTACTAAATTATTCTGTGCTGTTACAAACATAACTATATATTTCTCTGCACATCTATATAAAGAAATTGTGTTAATGCTCATACTTATCCTACATATTAACTGCCTCCTACAGTTAAGCATAATAGTGATAGTTTTTCACAGCAGTAAAGAGTGGGTTTTTATATCAATGGTATTATATTTTAACTAAACATTTACCTTTGGTTTGCTGTACAGGAAAAGTAAACTAAAATTAGTGGTAGGGTATTCAAGATAATCAAAGATGAAATGAACTTATTAAAGAAATGAAGTAAGAATGCATTAATAACTAAAGATTGAAATAAATTCTTTAAAAGTATTGAGTACTGCAAGTAAATTAAAAGACTCAGAGAAACTGTTTGCTGTAGGATGACGATGTAAGTTGAGGCTTTCAGACAGATATTTTCTTTAGCTGTTAACAGGCAGAATTTGTCTCTTTGAGGGAAATTCTGCGTTCCCATCAGCATACCTTCTATCTTAAACTGAAAATCAAATTAAACTGCTCTGACCTCTTGATGAAGCCTTAAATTTCTGATTTACGGTCATGTGGTTGTCTTCACCTGTAAATGTTATTCTTTGTCGGCTGTTGTTTCTTGAGGAGCTGTTGCTGGTTATAGAGTTTTTAGGAAACTGGAAATACTCTAATGGAGGGTACGAATTTATCCTTATGCATTTTAATATTTGTTGCTAATAGGAATAAGCTTGGCTTTTAGCTTCAGCTCAAGAGGTACTATTGCTGGAAGAACTGGACAGAGGCAGCTGTTCCTAAATGCTTTGAAACTTAGTAAAGGGATCAAAAATTAAAATGTCCACTTTGTACCCCCCATACTGTGTAGGTAATTTTCCCTCCATATGACTGAATTGAATTGTACTGTATATATCTGGACAAACTTGTTGTTTCCAAAGAGCTCAAGAAAATATTTGTTGTGTATTTGTATTTAATCCCACTTCAGTTGTTCCCATTTTGGTCCACTTCCAAGGTTTATCTTCAGGTGTTTTTTTAATGTGGATTCTGCAATTTGAAGGTTTTGAATTGGTTTATTATGCTTTGCTCTGTATTTCTGGTGTGATTTTCTTGTGAGCTCTCAACAGAGAAACTTCTGAAGGCTATAGTGTGTGGTGGTGCGATCAGTTTACAGTAAACACTGGATAAAGTCACTTTAACTCTACAAATCAGCTCAAAAGAGTGTAAGGTTACAAAGAGACGTTGAAAAATACCTTGTATCGTCCTTTTGAAAAAGGCTTTGCAGGCCTCACAAGAGGCGACCCCATAGTGATAGCCTGAGGCAATGTCACCGCACACCAGACACAGCCTCTTGGGAATGGCATTGAGCATGTACTCGCACTTAATTGGCGAGTCATCAGCCATGCTGCCGGAGCACTCCTCATAACGACGTAGGCATGCACTGCCTCCACTGAGCATGCTGGGGTTGAACATGGGAGGTGAGTCTAGGGCATGGGAGCGTCCACCGGTGCCGTTAATGTAGCCGCCACTGGCGTCTGAGTTTCCGCTGGGACTGTGATGACTGCCGGTGTCTACAAGGGAGGAGGATGGACTGGAAGGCTCAGTTTTGACGTAAGAACCGCAGCTGGAGGGTAGGTGTCGGTCGTCAGTGGGCATTCTGGTCAGCAACCTGGACAAACAAACAAATAGAGGGATTTTCATTCATAAAAAGATCAAATAAAAAAATAAAAAAACTTGTGCTTAAATTTATTTTGGGTTATTTTTAATATTTATATATATATATATATATATATATATATATATATACCAAAAAGATATTTTCAATAGAGCAGCTCAATGTGCAACACTAAACTGCTGTGAAAAAAACCCACTCCCATCATCAGTCCATCATCCTGTAAGAAATTCATCAGCTGGTTCATCTGAGTTTGATAGATTCCGTTACACAACCATCAACATGCTGGAATGCCAAGCAGTGCACCGACAGAGTCCATTCCTCTCAGGCTAAATGCTAACTAACGACCATGTCAACAGATGCTCCATACATCTTGAAAACAATGCCCACAACTGGCCGCCTGCCAGAGGCAAATGAATGAATGAATGAATGAATGAAATCCTAGAAGCCTGTTAATGGACAGAGAGAGGTGTTACACTCAGCATTTGGGGGATTGTGGGTAATAGATGACCAAATCGATAGTCCTGGTTATTTTGCAAGCCAATGGTGCCAGATTACTGCTGCCTCGGATTGAAGCTCTGACCTGGAAAAACCTTTTTATTTTAAATCCTGTTAAGGGGTTTCTGCACATTTTTAAAACGTTTTTAAATAATCGCTGATTTGACCCTTAAAATTCACTATTATCTACAGGTTCTATTTTGTGAATTTCCCAAACATTTCTTTTCCATCATCTGCCATTTGAAACTCCGTCACAGTTCATATTTTCTGTCAAAGCCCATTTAAGGATTTAGACCAGTGATGTTAGATCTTTTGTTTTGTTGCATTTGTTTCCCAAGATTAAATCTTTTCATATAATTGATGTTTAAGAGTTACGACCTGATTTTAAGTGTACTGTAGAAGAAGATCTACTAAAGTTCTTGCTGCTCTGCTTACAATAGTTAAAGCTCCATTAGAACATGTCAGACATGTTTTAATTAATAACAATGTATGGATTAGAATATGATGCAGTTAAAAACAATGATTATAAGATGTATTTTTTTAACATGTAGGTCTCACTCCAAGTGTAAATAAACATGTAAATCTGAATAAGCAAAATTAAAGTTTTTTATCCTCACATTCTTACAATAAGGCTGCAGGGGACTCTATATAAGTTTTTAACTATAACTACTATGAAAACACTAAATGGTTATAGTTTAATGCCTGGAAACCTTTTATGTATTGGTTAATATAGTTTTGAATTTTTATATTTTGTTAAATTTTAAATGTCATACAGAGGCTTGAGATTATTGCTGTTATGGTCTGGTCACATTTTGGACTTGTTGTGGTGGGTGGCGTTAAGTGTTCCCATAGCATCAGCAGACATACTGCAAGATGTGGTATAAATTAACTACAAATAAACGTCTGGGCTGCATAGTTGAATCATACCTTTAATTAAGACCATAAGTTTGTATAATAACTCTTAAATAGATTTTCACATTTTTATTTATTCAAATTGAGCTATTGAGCCTGGAAAATGCAACTGCTGTAAAAGTCTGTGTTATTTTAGATAAAGACATTATCTAAAATAATTATTCTTACTCTCGATATTCAATCAAATCTATTAACAGAGTAATTCAAGTTAATTCAATGAGCAGGATAGCAGAAGAGATTAAACTGGAATTAAGTAACAACATAAGAAAAAAAATATAAAAAATGTCTTAAAGTTTTATGCCACCTGCAAGTAAATCTTCAATATAACAGGAATAAAAACTGAAAATAACCATCTGGATATTAATAAACAACAGCCAGAGTTTTTACTCGATTAAAACCTGTGATGTTACATGCAGTTATCAACAGCAATAAACTGAATCGAACCAGATTTTACCGAAAAATTAGATATTCAGTGATAATGTTGAGATCATTTAGTGATAAAACAAGGCCGTGTATTTGATAACGTTGTATTACCAAATCAGAAATGCCATCACAATTCTCCGTCACAGTGGCTGCTAAACTACATTTGATCTCAAATTTGTAATACAAAGGACTTCTTGTATGTAACATTCATTACGTTGTTGTATTCATTCAGCGTCATGCATTCATAATTCTCAATATAATAATATTTTAGTTGGCTGAAATCTGATGTACCTTTTAGAGATAAGATGCTAAAACTTCACAGTGATGCAGACAATATCGTGATGGCCCTAAAAAGAGCATACATGGGCAGAAGCCTGAGATTTTGAGGCTCCACGAAGATTTTCTACCGCTAATAGATTTTGTTGTTTTTGAAGGAAAATGATTAAAGTCATATCAGGTAAGGCATTTTATATCTGATTGGTTACTTAAATCCTCTCAGCAATTTTTATGTCAATATATTGTCATTTTAAAGCATTAAAAAAACTTGGGTGGTGAGCAAAATCTGGTGCTAGCCAATGGGGCCACATCCCACTGAATCAAGAACTAATTGCTGCAGATATCATCATGTGATAATCAGAAGCTACAAATTTTCCTAATATTACAGATTTTTTGGTTAAGTAACGGTACATTATTTTCCTTCCTTTTTTATTTTTACCAAAGTACTCCAAAGAGGAGCCCTTTGTTTTAGATCTGGTGCTGATGGTTAGGGATGTCCTTTTCCACTAAGCATTAAGTCAGTAAGTCATAAAGCTCTGACAGCATGAAAGTTCTCTTAAGTGCTAACAGAGAAGGATGGAAAGAGGGATGGAGATAGCCTCCATCCTCAAGCCTGGATCGGCTCTATCGATCCCCCTGCTTCCTTCCTGTTTAAGACGAGGCATGAAAAAATAAACCCCTGCCTTACAGATCCCAGACATTCCTTATGCATTTTTAATCAGCCAGCACTGTTAACATAGTGCGAGATGGAGCGATACAACATTACATCTTCATTGTGAGGCCATTGTGGTTTATAAAAGATTCACAGCACTCCTGTTAAATCTTGTTGAAAATCAGCATGGGCTTACAGTCAGTTTGGAGGGCAGATTTTTTTCCCGTCAGAGGGAGGTGCAGAAAGCAGCATGGTAACAGTTAATACATCATCACAGCTAGATATGGGGGGGAATCCCTGTGGAATAGTACATTGTGGCGTTGGTAAAAAGTAGTTCATTCCACACTTAGCACACAGCAACGCTGGGGAGAGGTTTTTTTGTTATGTTTAATGGAAATTTCTAATGGGTCCTTTCAGATCTGTCCAAATGAAATAATGGCACAAACCACCGATTCGCTAGACAGAAATAGGTACGTAGTTTCATTATTTGGTTTTCTTGCTCTTATTATATAGAGACAGTGAGTTCTCAAAGTGTAGCCTGACCCTCCTCGATGTGTCCCTTGGTAAAACACACACCATCTCAAACGCATTGCACCTAATATCTAATGGGTTAGTGTTTGCTCCGCTGTGCAGAAAAATGGTTCAAACAGAGCAGACAAGCAGGACTCATCAGACAGACGTGAAGGTCACCTGCCTTCTCTGTTCTGCTGCTGTGAGACAGTCCCACTGTGGATGCAGCAGACACGGGTTTCCATCTGTCCATCACACGGCAAGAATGAGACTTCCCTCCACATGGAAAACCACCGAGCCATCCAGACAGTTTAAAGTTAGCAACGCAAATCAGCTGTGACTTCTTTTTTAGCTTGAAACTCTAATCCTTGCATATGACTCAATCCACTTTGAAAATTTGCTACCAGAATCAAACATTTATGTCTGACAGAATTCTCAACATGCTTTTATTAAAGAAATCCTATTGTATACCAAGTAAGAGACGTATAAGTGTTAAACTTTGGGTTGAGCTGGTTGTAAGCGATGCAGTGTAAATCACTGAGGTGAACACTGAGCCTAACATGGAAGCACACAGAAGGACAGAGGCAAGGAGCCATGCATGAAATTAGTTCATTAATCTTTGTATGATAGGCCGTCCTTGTTTAGGGCAAACTCTATCAGCTTTAAAGTGAGTGCCCCGTACCGCAAAACACATAGATTAAGCTGTTAGTCCATCGTATCGTTGTGTCCAGGAAATGAATGGTCACTTCAGGGAAAAAACAGGAGACGCGTGTTGTCTCGGGAGTTAAACGGGAGCAACAACACGAGAAGGGTGGCGTGGGTGTTTGCTCTAAAAATCAAAGCAATCTAAAATTTCATGCCCAGAAATATAAAGGCAAAAAGATTTTTTTTTCCCCCATTTTCATAAAAGACTTTAATTTTAATTTATGAGAAACTGACAGAGGTAAGATATAAACCATTAATAATATATATACAGTTTTAATTCTAAAACTATTTAAATGAATGAAAAACTCAAACTGCTAATGAGAAAAGCAGTAAGCTGAACAAATCTGAATAATATACATATGGTCTTAAGATCAACAGAAAAAGGGGAACTGAACTACAGTTTAGTCTTTAAGTATATACAACCCAGGCATATGTCAATTTCAAATAGCTTTAATTCAATTAAGAGCTTTCAGCTTGATAGGAAAAAGAAAGAAAACATATAAAAAATAATACAACTATTTAAAAAAGAAAAAAACAATAAAAGATTCGTCTGTTTTTTTTTTATTTACAATAAAGTGGCATTTTAAAAATTATTAATAAATTTAATAAACAGGGAGAAAAGTCTATTGAAAATGCAGATGTCAAAACCTTATCCTTGCTGAATAGTCCTTGGTACTGAGCTCCAAGTATTTGATGTTGGAAAGCCTGCCTGCCTTTACCCTGATCTTTAACTCGCTCCAGAGATTAAAGTCTGGATTTTGTCGGGGTCAGGAGATTAAAAAAAACAACATGAACCTCAAATATAACTTTAAGTAATTAACATTTTAATCATGCAATGTATTTAAAATATATAATGAATAAAATTTATGTTTTAAGTCATTTTCAGTGACTTTAGTATGTGGATTGGACCTCTTTGTTGCTTGTGAAGGATTGAAAGCGTGCTCCCATATTTGCAGAGTAAAAGTATATTTTCCTCAGACTCTTTGTAAAGTTGGTCTCACAGTAGTCTGATCTGGAGCAGACAAAAGCGGTGGACACAGCTGAATGCATAATTTTCAGACCTCTGATCGCTGCACCATAATAAGGTTTTTATAGTGTTGTACGCTTTTAACATATCATTTCAACATCGTATTTTCAGTTTAATGCATGAGGATATTGTGGAGACTGCAGTGACACTTGTTGATGATTTATTTCAATAATCTAAAATTAGATATTTATATGAATATCTAAAAGCAACAATTGGCAAAAACTGTTGTTTTTACACTGGCTGTAGATGTATCATGGTTACATCTTGTGTCAATGTAACATCTTGATGTTATCATACAGAAAATATTTACTTTAGACTTTGTATGAATCTGCGGTACCTTGATGCACCAGGAAGTGTTTTCCTTTTTTGTATATGAAGGGTGCCAAATCGTGGCATTCTGACATTTTTGGAGGGAAAAACAAGTAATCCGTAATTTTGTTCTGCTGTAATTTTCACTTTCTAACTTAGTGTTCCCTTTCTAAGTTACTGAGTCCCAGTGGTGGGTTTATACCGCATTAGTGTACTTGGTTTAATTTTCTGACACCCTAACGCAAACACATATGCAAGAACGCTTAGTACACAGAACTTTCAGCATCTGGCCTCTTCAATGTCACAGCCAAGAGGAGAGATTGCATAGATTTCCCACATGGATGATGTCTCCTTACCTGGAGTATCAACCCCCCATCTACATACACATCCAACCACCTCGAGGAAATTGCTCTCTCTGCAAAGTCAAACACACCCCTAACTGCCTTTTAAAAAGAGACAGAAGACGGAGGTTGCAGGGGTGGTGGTGGTGGTGGTGGGATAAACGAGCAGAGACTTAAGCCGTCATTGGGAATCAGAGGAGGACCCATGTGGGACAGTTACGATATTGATTTCATAAATAAACAGAGATGGCCATCGATCCTAATGTTATTTTGCATTTCAATTACTGCCCAGAAACATAACCTTCAAATGTCTGCTTCTCCACAGTAATAACATCCACTGATAATCACAGCCGAGTCGTGTTCGGCACAAATTGGCTTTTCTCTCATCCCTCCTTCCCCTCCAGCTTTCTTTTTTTTTCTTGTTCTTCTCAAATGTGTAAATGACACAACTTTGCATTTGCCTAATGGTATTAGGGCATGGGCTGAATCTTAAGAGAAACCCTAGCTGATACAGTAAGCGCTCCGGTCAATTGACACAATGCAAATGAAGGTGGTGAAGAGGAATTAAGTTCACAATGTGAGACCTTGCGGAGCTACGATGAGGCCCATTAAATTAAACATCCCTCCTGAGTTACGCTTCATGATTAGATGAACCGCTTCATCTCTCCACTGTGTTTGTGTGCTAATTTCATTTGATCAATAAAACAAACTCCTTCTAAGAAGTCATCTTTGCTGCGTGTATCATTCAGGTTTGGACTGAAGAGTCGATGCAAAAAAGGAAGTGGGAGGGCATCTATCTACATCCTCATGAATTCAGAGTCCTTGACAAGCTGCCTAAAGGATGTATCTATATCAAGAGAGGGTCATGACATGTAATGAAGTTATTTCGCCTCTCATACCATCAGAGTGAACCAATAGAGCCTGGTTGTAGCTGCATGTTGAGCCATTAATAAACAGGATGGCCATGAAGAAAACCCAGCAAGAAGATTCTTTTTTTTAAATTTAACTTTATGGAAATTAAAATCGGTTAGAAAGCTTTAAGCAACATTTGGATAATTTTTTGTCCTTTTACAGAAATCCTTCTCATAACAGTTTTCCAACAGCAGTTCCCAAATTCATCTAATTTAACATCACATTTTTTTCTTTTTCTTTTTCTTTGTTCTCCACATTATGCCAATATTTTGGTAAATGATATAAACTTTTTTAGCAACAATTTAAAAGTCCTACATTTAGGGCTTTTAACTGCACTACTATAGTTATGCATTTTGTTTTATACGAATTGACTGGAAACATAAAACCTTCCTTAAAAAAATAATTACATTTTAAGACACCGTTGTCATGGTTTCCTCTTTATCGTTTGAGTGTTTTTTATGAAGAAAAAAAACACTCTATACATATTAGATTTAAAGTAATGAAGTAATCAAAATAGTTTTTAGTGATTCAACCAAAGTCCAAAGTTGCCTAATTAGGAATGGTGATAGTTAAAGATTAGAGTGACTGTAAGGAGGCCTTCCAACCTAAGAGACCTGGAGCTCATTAATAAATATAAATCATCACAAATCCCAGAGGGAAATGACATTAATCTGGTCAACAGTTATTATTGAATGAATTGACTGCTGTTATACCATTACTAACTTTTTGAAAAATTAAAAGGACTGTAATATATACAATTGATTTAAAAGTTTTTTTACTATTCTTTAAGAAATTTTAAGAAATGTTGTCTTTTTAGGAGCCACTTAACTGTTATACAGCTTCCTGTCTCAAAATTATGACTTTTTGTTGAGATATTGTTACAATACAGAGATTACAATATTTTATTTTCATGAATTTATAATTACACGTTTACTTCACTATAAAATGCATGTAATACAGATATTTGTTTAACTTTTTTCCAGCTTCTGGATTTGCCAAACACAGTTGCCTCACAGCAGCAAGCAAATTTCAAAAAAACATTTGTTAACTAATGCATTAGGTAAGTAAAGCGGTTATTAACCTGTCCAGCTAATTGGTGAAGAAGCAAGTAATCAAAAGACTAAACAACAGTTTCTTAACTTTTTCATTTAATCGATATATACATGTTATATACAAACTTTTTTTTCAGTTTATGATGGTTAGTGTTCATTGTTAACAGACACTGTCAGGTGTCGGCACAGTTAAATTTAGATCCCAGGTTAGTGCAAACACATAGGTATTATTGTGACTGTATGAACACGTTTCAACGCTTACAATACCAGTTTGTGAGGAGGTAGCAAGTAAATAAAAAGAGCAGAGGGAAATTGTATGAGCAGAAAGAGATAGTAAAACTTTTTAATAAAAAAAGAAACAACTTCTTTTTAACATGTAAGAATTTAGACTTTGAGTTGAAAATGGATAATCAAATTTACTGGTTTTGGTCAGACTTTAAATGAGCAAAAAACACATCTTTTTTTTTTTTTATTCCCAGCAAACTCTTGTGCAATTTTTATTCTTTACTCCACTTGCTCTGCAAGTATTCTAATTTTAATTAAACAGAGAATAATTTGAAAGCTGAAAATACGTTTAAACAACCAAAAAAGATTCTCCTTTTAAGTCATGTTTGTGAAGAAATATGTTTGTTTACTTAAAGTAGCCCACAGTAGGTATGACAGCCGGACCGACTAACAGGCAGGTCGTCTTACCAAAAGTTCTCTAGTGAGATTAATGGTGCTCTCCAGAGCCGATCCGATCTGAGTACAGCTCTGTGTGTCGCCAGTCGTGCAGGTTTTCTGTTTGCAAACATAAGCAGCTACACCACATTCATGTCCAGATTGTGATAAATTGTGGGATGACATCAATTTCACACAAAGAGAGTAAGTTTAACTCCCTGATTTAGAGAAACAGTTGCATAAAGAAAAACACAACATAGATTTGGAAGTTTCTTGGATTATGCCACACACACAAACACACACAAAGTTGCTGCAGGTTAACACGGTTGTGTTATGTATATGCTTTCTTTCTTACTGAAAAAATATTAAAAGGAACACAAGATAAGTTTACTGCAAGATTATTTTGTCACATGTACATCAAATATAAGCATTAAAATCATATGTGACATTAAAAATAAGTGATACAATCTGTTAATATTGTATTAGTTAAAATTTCTCTTTTTCATGATTAGGTAATTTACAGCTATTTTGACTTCACTAAAGAAATTAAATCCAACATTAGACATGAAAAACTAACTTTTTTATACTGTCTCTAATTAGTTCTTTTAATTTTTGGGAGAGTTGATGATAAAGATACTGTACCAGATGAGAGCAAAAAATGCTCTGTAAAACATGTATTTGGTATACTTTAATGATAAATAAATAATCAAAATGAATCTAAATAAACTCTTTAGAAAAAAGCAATGAAATATTTCTAAATAGGAGGGCCTTTTGTAGATCTTATTTTTGACTTTCCAGGATGCTAAATTAAAACTATTGCTTTAACAAAAAAACACAGTCAAATTTCGAGTCAAGATTATACTTTACATTGTTATTGCTATTGCTAAAGGGTGTACCTGAAAAGAAATCTTAATGACTTAGACTAAAAGTCATATCAGAAACCTCCAAAGCTTAAAAAAGTCTGTCAGATGTGTTCATTTTAAAGTTAAAAACTTTAGACTAATGAGCAACACTTATTACTTTGGAAATGATGCCTTCATTTCTAACAAAGTATTATTTTATTTACCATAATTTTATTTAGATTGTTAATCAAAATATAAATTTGCAAACAGACATTTCATCCTGACTTCTTAATGAGAGTGGAAATAAAATCCTAGTGGATGTGAAAGTTTTATTCATTTTTATTTTTTTATCCTAGTGTAAGGGTTATAGTCGCCTGACCTAAGAGCATGCGTGCACCTGCAAAGGTTTGTACATGTAGGCTGTAAAATAATAGTAAAAATGCTCCGAAACCTTGGATCCTGGTGCAATTGTGCTTCCTGGACTCACTGCAAGCTTTGCTGCTGCAGCTGCACCGGACATCACTTGTCCCAAAACAAAAACTTTCTCAACTGTCAGAATGCTGAACTTTTGGACAAGATTCTTTACTTTCTTTCTCTCCTGTAAATAAAACTTTTTTTTTAATGTATAAAGAGGTGAAAAGTGCTGCCAAAAGACAAGAGCAGAAGGATGAGTAAAGAAACGCACTCACTGGTTGTGGTAGCAGAGGGGGTCTGGGATGCACAGTTCAGAAACATCCATCAGTCCACATTAAGCATTCCAATTGTTGCAGGAAAAAACAACAAAAAATAGATGAAGAACAGGAAGAATAGCTGGAGCAAATGTAGAAGAGAAGATCAGCTCATCATATCTTCACAAATTAATTCTTAATTCTTCCTTTGTTGCGTATTTCACTCCTTCTTTCTTTCAACACTCTTAACAGTAATATATAAAAAGAAATAAAACCTTTTCCTTGGGTCAAAAAAACTCCAATCTGAAAAAGTGTTGAACACTTAGGATTGTTAAGGATGAGGAAAAAAAGAAGAAAAATGGGAAAAGGAAGTGCAAAGAAAGAAGAGAGTTCAAGAATTAAAGGTGACAAGAAGGATGGAGGGACACTGAGAATGAGAAGATAAAGAGGCAGAACGATGGAGAGCAGCAACAGAGAGAGGAGAAAGCCTGCTCTCTGGCTGAGTAAAGTGAGTGAGGAAATTGAGTCTCCATTGAAGACCATGGGGCTCTTTAAGACAGGGAAGGAGTGGTTTGGGTGTGCAGAGCTGAGCGTCATTGGTAGGTTTGGGGAAGGCTGTCCTGGAAACAGCCAATGGGAATGAAGGATTACAGGGCTGAGTTAGACTAATAGATAACCAGTCAGTGTCCATTCACAAGGGAGCAAAACATGGGCACCCCCCTTCAGCAGACAGACAGACAGACAGACAGACAGACAGACAGACAGACAGACAGACAGACAGACAGACAGACAGACAGACAGATAGATAGATAGATAGATAGATAGATAGATAGATAGATAGATAGATAGATAGATAGATAGATAGATAGATAGANAGACATTGCAGAGATAAGCATGCTCACTAAGGTTGATTTACAGGTCTGTTTACTTGGCTTTTGAGGACTCAGAGAAAGCTTACAGAGTTAAACTGTTCCCTTTGGTCTTTTATCCTCTCCACCACAGGTCCGGCTTTTTCACCGCCTGCCCTCTTTTGAAGCAGCAACAGCTGCTTCCCACGGCACTTCTCCAATCTGTGCAGAGGGGAAAGAACCCCCCCAAACTTGCAAGAGGCAGGATTCCCCAGTAAATAACTGTATAAACCTCTTCAGATGACAGCACAGAGCTTTTAGTGGATGTTTACAGCGCCTGAATGGTGCGACAGCCATCAGAGGGAAGCCAAAGCTCCATGGCCCAATCCTCACAACCCACTTTATCAACCCACATTTTCCTGATCGATGCAAAACCCATCACACGCTCTTATTGATTACGGTGTGCCCGTGTCACCAGAAGCCCGAGGACAGACTCTCTTTCCCTTCAGTCTTTTAAATAAAAAAAAAAGGAATTATGATTTGAATGTTTTCTTTTCATGTCACTCCACATCAGAGTCACTAGACCAAAGGGTGATTGCTTTAATGACAAAGCTGTATAGTTTGAATTAAAAAAATGATCAATATTTTGGCATTCAGTGTACTTTCCTCTAGTGGAAAATGCAGAATATTCCTGCAGATCAGATTAAGACATCCAGACGTAATCAATAGTGGAGATGTGTTTATGTTTTTAATGAGGCAGAGCAGAGGGAACATAAATAATGTTCAGGGGACATGTATGGCTTTATTTCAAGGCTGCTTATAAGAGCAGATCTTATTTATATAAAAATGCTGTTCTTTAGATGAAATTATAAACTAAACTGGATTTTAGATCATTTTCTGAACTGGACAATAATCTATTCATGGGAATATGTTTAGATGTAAAATTCAGCAATTTACCAAAATTTTGAAATAAATAAATATGAAATAATGTTACCTTTAATCATGTAATAAAAAACAACCTCAGACAAATTACAACCTTTGCAAGAACAAAGGTTGTAATTTGAATTTGTTGAACAAAGCACCTTTTTTATTAAACAAATAAAAAAAAAAAATTAATCAAAATAACATTGCCTAAAAATAATAATATAAGAATAAAACCTAACCAAAAAACAACAAGACTAGGCTTCTGGTTCTTTTGCAAATCAATTTACTGGCCTTTATTTGTGTAACTGTTTTGCGGATATTTTTGGATTCTTCTTAACCTCTCAGCACATTAAAAACCAGATGCATGGGAGATCAAATGATGCATCTTTGCATTTGACAGCTGATTTACTGCGCTGGAAATGCACCTGTTGTTTATAGGAATAGTTACACTATATTCAGATCTGCATGCAAGCATAAATATGTTGATTACAAGTAACCACCATCTGCATGTGGAGGTTGTGGTTTGATGTCATTTTCATGTTTTTTCTTTTTTTCCGTGAAGTATTCCCTGGATCTCAGGTGTCTCTGAATGTTTGGAAGATGGTCTTAATTTAGAAAATAGCTGAACAAAGGAATTTAATTAGAGTAAAGCGCAAAAGAACCCTTGTGGAAAAGATTTAACAGGTCATGGAATACATAGATGTGGCTATAAATGTTTTAAACAATAATTAAATCTCATAAATTGATAAGAAATACATACAAAAAATTCATTTCTAGCAGCTTTATTTATTCTCAGATGGCTAAATACTTTTCTAACACTTAATGAATAAATCAAAGCAGGTCATATAAGGCCATGGCTTCAATAAATAGATTGCAAAAACTTTAATGTGTTAAAACAAAAAACAACACATTAAATTGCAAATTTGACGCAACAAGGACAAAGCTTTTTTCTGTTAAATGTAATAACAAAATAATGTTGACAAAGGATGGAATAAGGTGGCTTTAAACAACACCTTATTTTAGCCCTCGAAGGACTGTTCATCATCCTCCCTTACCTTCAGCCCAAACACCAGCCAGCCACAGTCTCTCCCCAGCACTGGTTCTCTCTCCCCAACTAGAAACAAGGGAGTACCACTAAATTCAACTGTCATTCAGATGCAGCTTTTAGATTAGATTTTTGTACTCTACAAACTGGTTCTGTTTCTGGAGAGTCGGTTGGACCAATAGGGTTGAAATAGAAGCCAAAGTTCTTGCTATTTTGATGTGTATATGTAAATATGTAAGCACAGTGAAGACACTGAAATGCACAGCAGTGAACTCCAGGGTGATGCTCACCAAAATTGCCACGGACATCGTGTTCAGTGTGAATGCACTTTTAGAGGAGTATGATCTCATTAGGGAAATTTTTAAATCTACACCCCAGTAGCTTATTCAGGTTGCAGCGACAGTGGCATCAGATGTAGGAGTTTGCCCTGAAATCGAAGGATTGACGGTTCAAGCCCGGCTCCGACTTTCAGTGTTGTTGTGTCCTTAGACAAGACACTTCACCTGCATTGTTTACTGATGGTGGTCAGAGGGCCCGGTGGCGCCAGTGTATGGCAGCCTTGCTTCTGTCAGCGAGCCCCAGGGCAGCTGTGGCTACAATGTAGCTTGCCACCATCAGTGTGTATGTGGGTGAATGACTGAATGTAGTGTAAAACGCTTTGGTCAAATCTCCTGACTTCAAAAAGCGCTATATAAGTACAGGCCATTTATTGTTATTTTGGTGTTTTCATTCTAAACAAAGCTATTCTGTGTATATTTACGAAGTACAGACTTGTGTCCTCCCAAAGTATGTTCTTGAGAAGAACACAGGAAATTGTGGACTCGGGAACAATGGGAGGAAATAGCATAAATATGGGTCAATTGTACAGAAGCATACTCATGACATTACCACAAGCTCGGCTCGTCTGGAGCTGCGTTTCACCTCCTGTTAATAATAATCTCTAGATAATAATATATTCTCACTTTTTTCATTTACTTGGGGAATACTAACTGACACAGTCAGGTAAACACGAATGAAATGAACATTTTGCCAAATAAAACCAAAAAACTCTCCATCAGAGCCAGCAGTACTTCACACACAGCTATGCCGAGAAAGGGCTGAAATTAGCCCTGGCTGCGGTTAGCCTCGGATGTCATCTCAACATAGGAACTTTTTAAAAAATTACGCACCAAATTAGTGAATGGGCCATATAGTGACCCTTAAAAGTATAAAATTATCTTAAAACATACTTTTATAGAACAGCACGAACAGAAAAGAGAACTTTTAACTTATGACCCCCCTCCTTGCAAAGCATTCCGGGATACATTTGCTCGTCTAGTGACAATGGGCAATCACTACTTTTCAGTAAATAGGGCAGAAATTCGGACACAGCCAAAGGCAGGTACATCTGGATTTCAGGTTTAGATAACTTAGAGTTTTCAGTAAACCTGCTTTACCTGTGAAATGGGACTCAGGTTCACAGCTGGTACACACAAAAACAAAAAACAACAACAAAAAAGTTAGAATTTCAACTTGGAAAACCACATATTGCCAATCTAGTATGGCTGCGTAGTGAGAGTTGCTGTTTTAATCTATCAACCAGAGAGACCCAAATGGGAAGCAGCCAACTTTTAGTACCTGTGCACAAAACAGGATTTTTCGTAGCATTTCTACTGTTCTTGTAGACCGCTTTGGCACATATTTTATCTTACGACGGCACAATTTTAAAATGGATTCCAGAGGGAAAGGATATAAAAACATCTGGGACTCTGCTGCCATGTATACCTTAAACACCAGATCTGCCTTGATGGGAACCTCTGAAATGTGGCAATCATCAGTAGAGATTAATGTGGCCTCTCAATGCATAACAAGTGTTGACCAGGTTAATGGTTTTAATTGTTCTCGAAAATCGGATTTAATGCACTAGTTAATCTTTCATACTTGGGCTGTTTTTAGTAGTTATTAAATTATATGCAACATTTAATCAGTTGGGCATGTTTAGTGGTTAACAGAAGAGGTGTTCCATCACTTTAAATATGCAATCCAAATACATAGAAGTATTTTTCATCATTCCTAACATTGTTGTCATACAATCAATGAAGAATACAAGCATCCACAAGTAAAAATTAAAACACTATCCCCATTGAGTGGATTTCGCTGTGACTTCTTAGTTCTCAGTTATAATGTTAATGCAATGCTGTATGAAAACCATGGTATGAAAAATCTGGCAAAAACGCTGGCATATACATTGGATAAGTTATGGGTACGTCTTGTAGTTATTAGCATGCGGAAGTATGCTGAAACACATTGAAACATGCTGGCACACATCAACATATGGTAATAACCTCGTATGCAAGCATATGCCATACGTGGGGCATAAGTAACTGGTGAGTTTTCTGATCATCGACATACATTAAGTGTAAGTTACTATTAGGTCATGGCCTCTAGCTTATCCAAAGCCATTGAGTAACTTGAGCAATAACTTATGTGTAACTTATCTCCAATGCATATCGACATATCTGATGTGTTACAGACAACTGCTGAATCTGTTTCTAACTTACAGCTACTTTTTAATGGCATATTGGCAGCGTTTTGGTATAAAAGGGGGATCACAGGAGGAAACTCTTAGTTATCCTCCAGACGGCATCTGCATCATAGGGTGAGTGAGAAGGTGAGTGTGATGGATCCTCCCTGCGTTTACGCAGGG